GTTAATTAGGCTTGAGGAGTCGAGGAAAAGTCCAGAGAAGTGAGGAGGAATGTTCCAGGTTTGGGAATGACATATTCAAAGGCCCTGTGGTAGATGGGCATGATATGTTTGAACTGAAAGAAGCCCAGCATCTCTGGAGCACACAGGGGCCAGAGGTGAGAATGTTCCAAAGGGGACGGGGTCAGGGCCATGCATGCATTATAGGCCATATAAAGGGTTTTAGTCTTTAGCCTAAAAGCAATGAGAAGCCATTAAAGTGTATCTTCAACAGGGTCAGGACATTTTCAGGTTCAAATTTTTAAAAGATCGTTTTAATTGCTGTGTCTGGGCTTGGGTGCTTGAGGTTGGGTTGAGAACAAGAGTGGGTGCATAGTATAGTCCAATTAAGAAACCAGTGTAATTGTCTAGGTTAAAGGTGTTGGTATTTTGGACCAAGGCAGTGGCAGTGCCAAAGATGGGAAGACTTAGACATATGTGAGAGCTATCTGGGAGGTAAAAACCACAGTTCAGACTGATAGACTGGGTTGAGGAAAACGAAGGCGTCATGGATGAAGCCTTGTTTTCAGGCTGCATGGTGGAAGCACTCACAGGCACAGGACCTCAGGTTTGGACGGAAGAACCTGAATTTAGTTTTGGGCTTGTTGATTTTGAGGTGTCTTTGGGATGTCCATGTGGATACAAAGGTCTGGGGTTGGGAATAGAGCCCTGGTCTAAGGATATAAATCTGAGAATCCTTGGGGCATGGATGGTAGTTGAAGCCATGGGGATATAAGAACTTGCCTGAGAGACGAGAGAAGAGAGATATTTGGGGAACTGAATCTCAAGGGATTCCAGCCTTTAAAGTCCATGGAGATGAGGTGGCGGTAACCCACAATGGTCACTGAGAAAAGGTAGGGACAGAGGGAAAGCAGTACAGTGTGTGACGTCCTTCTAACTGAGGGGAGTGCTCAATAGCATCTGATGCTATTAATGTCAACCACATGGGGGACCTACAAGATGTCCATCGTATATGGACACAAGGGAGAATGCTTGTGCCCCTAGTAGTAAAGGCAGAAGCTAGAGGAGTGAAGAGTGCATGGGAAGGTAGGTGTGAGACAGGTTACGTGGGGCTAGGGGCGTTGTAAAGGAGTGACTTATGTAGTTGTCTTAGTTCAGGCTGCTTTAACAAAAATACTATAGACTGGGTGGCTTATACGATAGACCCTCATTTCTCACAGTCTGGAGGCTGGGGAGTCCAAGATCAAGGCGCCAGCAGACCTGGTGTATGGTAAGGCACCTTAGTCTGCAGAGGTCTGCTCATTGTATTATCGTCACAAGAGAGAAAGGGGAAGCAAGTTCTCTTCTGTCCCTTCTTATAAGGACAGTAATCTCATTGTGGGTCTGTAGGGGAACAAAGTTTACCACCCCAAAATGTCTCTTTGGTGTGTGGATTACTTCGAGCTGAAAACAGTCAAGGCCCAAAAGACTCTGGAAGAACCTTTGACCTGTGACCTAACTGCCTAAAAAAATTTTAGATAGAGGACCTGTTCCAGGAAGGGAGCTATCAACATAGATAACTATAGTATGAGCTAGGTGTGTAGGCAAGGAGAAACCTGGCGAAGTCTGTTTGTTAAAATTCCCCTCTGTGTCCCATTGTCTCTGCATGACACAACAAACATTTATTTACCAGACAGTTACCTTTACATCTCCATGTGAATTGCCTTCCTCCCCTTTGAAGTCCTGAACCACTACCCCAACATCCTCTTTTGTCTTTAGCTGAAGGTAGTATTTAAAGTGAGGGTTTTGACTCTCTGACATACATCACAGCAAGATCCTTTTTGACCCACCTCCTGGAGAAAGGGAAATAAAAACAAAAATAAACAAATGGGACCTAATGAAACTTCAAAGCTTTTGCACAGCGAAGGAAACCTTAAACAAGACAAAAAGACAACCCTCAGAATGGGAGAAAATATTTGCAGATGAAGCAACGGACAAAGGATTAATCTCTGAAATTTACAAGCAGCCCATGCAGCTCAATATCAAAAAAACAAACAACCCTAACCAAAAATGGGCAGAAGACCTAAGTAGACATTGCTCCAAAGAAGATATACAGATGGCTATCAAACACATGAAAGGATGCTCAACATCGCTAATCATTAGAGAAATGCAAATCAAAACTACAATGAGGTATCACCTCACACCGGTCAGAATGGCCATCATCAAAAAATCTACAAACAGTAAATGCTGGAGAGGGTAGTGGAGAAAAGGGAACCCTCTTGCACTGTTGGTGGGAATGTAAATTGATACAGCCACTATGGAGAACAGTATGGAGGTTCCTTTAAAAAACTGAAAATAGAACTACCATACGACCCAGCAATCCCACTACTGGGCGTACACCCTGAGAAAACCATAACTCAAAAAGCGTCATGGGGCTTCCCTGGTGGCGCAGTGGTTGGGAGTCCGCCTGCTGATGCAGGGGACACGGGTTCGTGCCCCGGTCCGGGAGGATCCCACGTGCCGCGGAGCGGCTGGGCCTGTGAGCCCTGCGTGTCCAGAGGCTGTGCTCCGCAACGGGAGAGGCCACAACAGTGAGAGGCCCACATACTGCCAAAAAAAAAAAAAAAGCGTCATGTACCACAATGTTCATTGCAGCTCTATTTACAATAGCCAGGACATGGAAGCAACCTAAGTGTCCATCGACAGATGAATGGATAAAGAAGATGTGGCACATATATACAATGGAATATTACTCAGCTGTAAAAAGAAATGAAATTGAGTTATTTGTAGTGAGGTGGATGGACCTACAGACTGTCATACAGAGTGAAGTAAGTCAGAAAGAGAAAAACAAATACCGTATGCTAACACATATATATGGAATCTAAAATTAAAAAAAAAAAATCGTTCTGAAGAACCTAGGGGCAGGACAGGAATAAAGACGCAGACGTAGGGAATGGACTTGAGGACACGGTGAGAGGGAAGGGTAAGCTGGGAGGAAGTGACAGAGTGGCATGGACATATATACACTAGCAAAGGTAAGATAGATAGCTAGTGGGAAGCAGCTGCATAGCACAGGGAGATCAGCTTGGTGCTTTGTGACCACCTAGAGGGGTGGGATAGGGAGGGTGGGAGGGAGCCGTAAGAGGGAGGAGATATGGGGATATATGTATATGTACAGCTGATTCACTTTGTTATACAGCAGAAACTAACACACCATTGTAGAGCAATTATACTCCAGTAAAGATGTTAAAAAAATAAATAAAGTGAGGGTTTTGGCCATTTTGGTGAGTTACTCAGTTTCCCTGGGTCTCTCCCTGTACATGTTATTAAACTTTTGTATGATTTTCTCCTGTTAATCAGTCTTACATCATCTACTTCTTAGAGCGGCCAGAAGAGCCTGAAAGGGCAGAGGAAAACTCCTTCCTGCGCAGTAGGCCTCCACCCTCATGAAATGATCACCTCTCAAAAGCCCCATCTCCAAATTCTATCACGTTGATCTTTAGTGTTTCAATATGTTGCAGAAAGGAGGGGCCCCTTCTAGGGCCCTCGAGAGCCTAATAGGTGGACCCTCTCATATCAGATGTATTTTACGTGGAGATACATTTAGAGCATACTATGTAATTGTTGCCAGTATACTGAACTCTTAAATCAGATCCTGTCATCAGTCTTTGCTTGAGACTTCTCAATTATTTTCCATTGCACTTAGAATAGAATCCTCAGTGGGGCCCATAGGATCTGCTGACCTGTTCCCTACCAACCCCCCCCCCCATTATGTCAGGGCACACCTATTTCCTTTCACACCCTCACATATCCCAAGATCTTTCCCACCCCTAGTCCTTGTGTTGCAGGAAGGGACCCCTTCCAGGGCCCGAGAGTGGGCTCTTATCTAACACTCAGAAATGAATTGTCCGAGGAGACACACGTGCTGACAATGCAAGAGACTGTATTGGGAAGGGGCGCCCGGGCGGAGAGCAGGAGGATAAGGGAACCCAGGAGAACTGCTCTGCCACGTGGCTCTCAGTCTCGGGTTTTATGGGAATGGGGTTAGTTTCTGGGTTGTCTCTGGCCAATCATTCTGACTCAGGGTCCTTCCTGGTGGTGCTTGCATCACTCAGCCAAGATGGATTCCAGCAAGGAGGATTCTGGGAGGTTGGGAGGACATATAGACTGGCATCTCCTCTCTCCTTCTGACCTTTTCTGAATTCTTCCGGTTGGCGGTAGCTTGTTAGTTCCGCGTTCCTTACCAGGACCTCCAGTTGTAAGATGACTCATGCAAGTGGCTACTATCCAGCCTGGCTAGGGTGGGTGGTTTCAATCAGTGGGTCCCCTAACAACTATGTGAATTTTGGGAAGACACAAACATTCAGTCCATAGCAAGTCGTCTTCTTATTAGCCCAATGACTTGGGAAAAGGAAAAATGCCTTTAGGAAAGAAATACGAGAGTTTTTTAGGAAAGTCGGGTGGGGTTTGGTCAGGAACTCCCTTTCAAGATGGCTAAACTGAGTACAGTTTGCTAAAGCTAGAGTTTTGGATTGCTTTTTCAGTTTTTTTCTAATCACCAGGAAAAAAATGCATCTTATTCACTTCTGAAGCAGATCCTTCTCTTGACAGTTGTGTCTGGGGTGGCACATGACAGCCACGTCTGGCTGTCTGACAACCTTGCAGTGAAAGTTCAGAGAAGCCTAGGATGTGGGATTTCAAATGAGTAATTTTCCTTTTGTGTAGGTTTCTTCTTCTTTTTTTCTTTCTTGTTTTTAAAATTGAATTATAGTTGACTTACAATATTAGTTTTAAGTATACACCATAGTGATTCCAAATTTTTATAGATCATACTCTATTCAAAGTTATTATAAAATATTGTCTATATTCCCTGTGCTGGACAATATATCCTTGTAGCTTGTTTATTTTGCACATGGTGATTTGTACCTCTTAACCCCCAACCCTATCTTTCCCCTCCTCTCTTCCCTCTCCCCACTGGTAAGTGTAGGTTTATTTTTTTTTTTTTTTTCACTTTCTTCCTCCAGGCTGATGAGCCCTGAAAACACACTCCTGCAGCCCAGGGAAGAGGAAGGGGTCAAGTATGAGCGCACCTTCATGGCGTCTGAGTTCCTGGATTGGCTGGTTCAGGAGGGTGAGGCCACCACAAGGAAAGAGGCGGAACAGCTTTGCCACCGGCTTATGGAGCACAGCATCATACAGCACGGTGAGTGTATGGGTCAGCTTTTGCTAAACCCTAACATCTTGTGCTACAGCTCCAGGCTTTTATTTCTCAGTCATGGCTCTGTAAGTCAACTGTGCCTCTGCGTGGGCTCAGCTTGGCTTGTCTCCAAACTGGGGGTCACATTCAGCTATGTGTTTCATGCCTTCTCATTCTGGGACTCAGAGTAAAGGAGCATCCACTCTCTGGACTATATTGTTTTGACAGATGAGGGCAGAAGCTAGAGAAGGCAGGCAGATTCTTGCAGTGTCTCCAAAGACTTCAGCTTGGGCGTGATCTAACATTACAGCTTCATGTCCAGCTGGCTATAGCAGGTCACCTGGTCAAGTCTGGATGGAAAGTAGATGGCTCTCGCAAGGTTGGTCGCGTTGGGAGAATGAAAATTTGCTGAACCATGGTTCAAGCTGCCACGCTGAAGAGGTATCCAAAAGGCCTTCAGATTTTCACTTTTCTTTTTAGAGCTGAATCATAATGCAATATAGTGTGCTGTTCAGGAACTCTATTAGTTATCTATTGCTACATAAGAAATTACTCTAAAACTTAATGGTATAAAATAATAATAAATGTTGATGACCTCACATAGTTTTTGTGGCTCAGGAATTTGGGAGGAGCTGAGTGGGTGGTTTGGCCTGGAGGTCTCTTATGAGGTTGCAGTCAAGACATTGGCTGGGGTTACAGTCATCTGACGGTTTGATATCCTGGAGGATTTGCTTCCACAGTGGCTCACTTCTGTGCCTGCCATAGAAGTGCTGGTGCTGGCTGTTGGCAGGAAGCTTCTGTCCATTGCTCTATGGACTTCTTCATGAGGCTGCCTGAGAATTCTCATGACATGGCAACCTGGCTTCTTGCAGAGGGAGTGATCCAAGAGAATGCAAGACAGAAGCTACAGTGTCTTTTAACTGAGCCTTGGGAGTCACACACTGTTGTTTCTTCAGTACTCTATTGTTACCAGGTCAGTCCTGTTGAGTATGAGAGAGGACTACGCGTGTGCTAACCAGGAGGCAAGGATCACTGGAGCCATCTCAGTTCTTATGAGGCTGCCTATTGCAAGAACATAGGCTCTGGAATCCCAACTCCACCAGTGATTACTCACCTTCTCTCATCTGTAAAATGGGCATACCTGCATAGGTTGGTTGTAGGAGTACAGGAGGTAGATATAAAGCACTTGGCTCAGTGCCTTGCTCTTAATAAGTGCTCAATGAATTTACTAATATAGCTGCAAGGTGTAGGCTTAGAACAGTGAGGAAAGGGCTGGAAACCAGATAAGCATTTCAGCCTAGGAGTCAATATGAAAGGTAATAACTTGAATCATTCTTACTGTAAACTCTCCACTTCTACACAGGCCTAGAATTTCTATCCCAGTGTTAGGGAGATAATAATGGAATTATTTGAAAGAAACTTTTGAAATTACTGGGAGCAGTGTTTTACAAACTGCAGATTGCAACCCTTTAGTGGGTTTAGTGAAATAAGTTGAGGGAGTCATTCCCCCAGCATTAAAAACATTTTTTTTTAGCACAGGGAACTATATTCAATATCCTGTGATAAACCATAATGGAAAAGAATATGAAAAAGAATGTATAAATAACTGTCACTTTGCTGTACAGCAGAAATTAATACAACATTGTAAATCAACCATACGTCAATAAATTTTTTTAAAAAAAAGAACTACTAAGAAAAAAAATTTTTTTCATAGACTAGACTAGACTCTTAGTACTCAAAGTGTGGTCCATGGACCCACAGTGTCACCTGGGAACATGACAGAAATGCAGAATCTCTGATCCCACTGAATCTGATCTACATTTTAGCATAACCCCGAGTGATTCGAATGCACTTTAAAAGTTTGAGATGCAGTGGATTGGATTTAACTAGAATAGAAAATTTCAGAGCATAGTTTACATAATAAGGTCAAGGATTGTTTTGCAAAACGTTTATTTCAATTAGATATACACTATATAAACATATGACCATAGTCATGTGTGCACTGATTTGTAACATAAAAATTAGTACTCTGCATTGTGGTCAAATATTTTGAAAAGCCCCTGATCTAGAAGCATTGGTTTGCAAGGCACTCAAGCCACTCAGTATATTTTGGAGTGTTTTCTCCTAACCGATGTTGCCACAGTGGCACTCACAACTGTTTATTGACGGTCTGATATGTTTCCTGCTGGGCTATTGATTGAGGTTTGGAAGGTGGATAGAATTGTAAAATGCCAGTATGGTCCCTGGCCTTAAACAGCTTATAGCCTTGTAGAGATTATAAAATGGATATAGAAGCAATTAGAGAGCAATTGAAGTTGTAGGATATATTTTATTTATTGGTTACTTATTTTATACCATGTGCCAGGCACTGTCCTAGAGATTTTACACATTAACTTACTGAATCCTCTTAAATTCTTTGAGTCAGATATTCTAATTTTTGTTGTTGTTAAATTTATCTTATTGTGGTAAGAACACCTAACATGAGATCAACTCTCTTAACAAATTTTTTTAAAGTGTACAAAATAGTAACTGTTAATTACAGGGCAGGTATTTTTATTACCTCCATTTTACAGATAAGGAAACCAATAGGTTAAGTAATTTGTATGAGGCCACTCAGGTGGTAATGTCCAAATGGATATTATCGCTAATAAGCGTGAACTCAGAATTGGTTGGAGTGACTGGTGCTTTCCACCATGATAAATGGTGTGTTTGGGTTAGAGTTAATGCTGTCATCTTTGCTCCAGACAGAAAACTTGGTGATACCAAACTCTAGAGAAAAACCAGAATTTTATACTACCGTTTACTGACTGATAATGTACATCTCGACTTCAGAGAGAAGATAGAGGATGCCACAAATTGTTTCCAAATGATTTCCAAAGAGTGAGTAATTATACCTCAATTACAGTGTAATTACAATTATTTTTTTGGCTGCATTGGGTCTTCATTGTTGCGCGCAGGCTTTCTCTAGTTGCGGCGAGCGGGGGCTACTCTTTGTTGCGCTGCACGGGCTTCTCATTGCGGTGGCTTCTCTTGTTGTGGAGCACAGGCTCTAGGTGCACGGGCTTCAGTGGTTGTGGCACGTGGGCTCTAGAGCGCAGGCTCAGTAGTTGTGACGCACAGGTGTGGTTGCTCCGCGGCATGTGGGATCTTCCCGGACCAGGGCTTGAACCCGTGTCCCCTGCATTGACAGGCAGATTCTTAACCACTGCGCCACCAGGGAAGCCCCTACAGTGTAATTTTATAATGCTATAAACATAAATGCCATAACGTTGTGATGTAAAGGATAAAATAAGGAATTATTGTTAGCAAATCTTATCCACGGAAATTTGTTTTCCATGGTTTTAGGAGAATTGAATATTCTCTATATACAGAGTCAGAGTTTCCAAGGGAGTTCCAGTTTCCTAGCAACTCATTGCTAGATCACAGATTCTAACTTTGAGTTATGAAAACATGGCCACCACATATGTGTACGTTAGAGTTAATGATAAATACCAGCTAGTATCTTAAGCAGAGCTCTGAATTGTCCAGCTAATAATTAATTTCATAAGTTAAACATTAAAGAAAGTCAGCCTCTAGGCTTTGAGCAAAAGGTTGCTGGATCAAAGTGGTTCCCTAGCTTGAAACCAGTAGGCATAAAAATCAAGCCCACTTATGAAATCCTAACCAGCTTCATTTATGAATGGTTAATGGTGCTCTGTAATCAGGACAGAACTTGTTAGCTGAGTAATTAACTTGCATGCAAATGTATACGTGTATATATATATATATATATATATATATATATATATAATGATATTATTATCATTATTACAGTTTTACAGTGAAGAATTCTTGAATTCAAAGCCTTTAAGATATTTTTCCAAGGTTGCATAGCTAACTGGTAGCTACTAGGCATTGTGCCTTAGAAAGGAGTTTCCGTTGGTCCAGGATGTATGTAATCGGGTGTGGCTGCCCGGCACTGTGGAATGAACATGGTCTTTGGAGGGAAACAGGCAGGATTTACATCCCAGCTCCTTCACCTACTGTGTGACCTTGTCGACATCTCAACTCTTCCATTCCTCAGGTTTTAAAATTTATTAAATTAAAGTCATATTATATACCTTTGAGAGTTATGTTTGGTTGGTTCGTTGGGCTTTTGCTTTTGCTTTTTGAAATCCTAGGACTGCCCACATGTACTAGAAAGACTCAACATATGACTGGACTCGTGGCTAAGATTTTTTAATCTTAAAAAGACAGAGAAGGATCAGCAAGGGAAAAAGACACTTTGGGTGTTGTCTGGAGAAATCCAGGTGCAGGATTCCTCTGTCCCTTCCAGGGCCAGGCAGAGCTGGTTCCTTCTTCCAGCAGGGACATGCAGTAACATGTGTACAATATCTCTGCCCAGGGAAACCCACTTGAAACTCAGAGGGCAAGATTTTTATTGGGAGCTGCTCATAGAGGTATACTCTGCCTGCCCAGGCAGCCACACTCCCTGTCTTCCAGACTCTCAGAAGGAAAGCACGTATTCTCCATTAATTGCTGTGTTCGTGCAAACAATCTGGGCAGGCTGATACAGCAGAATTCAGTGTCCCAGGTGAAGCAAAGTTGCCTTATCAGACGGTAACTCAGAGAACCTTTCAAAAGCCAAGTGCCCAGAAGCTAGCCACGGGCCAGCCCCACAAGCAGGCTTTTCTGTTTCAAGGCTGCTATGGTAACTCTTTCCTGCACAGAGCTGCTGTGAGAATTAAACGATAAAGGTGGGCAAAAGCTTTTAGCAGAGTCTACCTCTTATGGCTGTAAAATGCCAGCTATTGTACTTGATCTGATCAATACTAAATAACAGTTAAAATGTACAGAGTCCCTACTATATGCCAGACATTGTTCTAATCCTCATTTACTCCTTTAAATAACTCTTTGAATTAGGTATCATAATAATTCTCATTCTTAAAATGAGGTTAAGTAACTTGCTGAAGACAAGAGCTAGTAAATGGTAGATTCAAGATTCACATCAAGGCAATCTGGCTCTT